ATTCTTACATTTTGCTGCCGGATCCAGTAATAGTGGAATACAACGACAATTATTTTATTATGCAGTAATTCTTCAATTAAAGTGGTATTAGTGATAACAAGAGAGTCTCTGCGCGCTGGGTTAATGGGTAATTTTGCTAAGGGCTTGTAAACCGCTGAAATAGATCTGGTCTGTACAAAAAAAAAAGGATATTTAAAGTCATGAATACAATAATGAGAAAAAATGGATAGATGTGTGCGTGGGTTTGTATATAGATCTGGTCTGTACAAAAAGAAAAAAAAAAGGATATTTAAAGTCATGAATACAATAATGAGAAAAATGGATAGATGTGTGCGTGGGTTTGTATATAGATCTGACCTGTACAAAAAAAAAAAAGATATTTAAAATCATGAATACAATAATAAGAAAAATGGATAGATGTGTGCGTGGGTTTGTATATAGATCTGGCCTGTACAAAAAAAAAAAAAAAGATATTTAAAATCATGAATACAATAATAAGAAAAATGGATAGATGTGTGCGTGGGTTTGTATATAGATCTGGCCTGTACAAAAAAAAAAAAAAAAAAAAAAAGGATATTTAAAGTCATGAATACAATAATGAGAAAAATGGATAGATGTGTGCGTGGGTTTGTATATAGATCTGGTCTGTACCAAAAAAAAGGATATTTAAAATCATGAATACAATAATGAGAAAAATGGATAGATGTGTGCGTGGGTTTGTATATAGATCTGGTCTGTACCAAAAAAAAAGGATATTTAAAATCATGAATACAATAATGAGAAAAAATGGATAGATATGTGCGTGGATTTGTATATGTGTATGTGTGTGTGTACATTTGTGTGATGATAATGATATTTGACAGGGCTACTAACAGTGATGATATTGTTGATAATGGCAATATTAGCGATAGTCGTGATATTAATAGTGATCCTGATAATGCTATTGATAACAGTACTAACAATGTTAATGATGACAATAATAATGATAATAGTAATGATAGCAATAATAGTAATAAAATGACAATAATGACAATGATATAGTGATGATGATGACAGTGGCAACAATAATGATATAAATAATAGTGATAATAATAGTAACAATGATAATTGTATATCACTGTATCATGATATTTATCATTGTTTACTAGGATCAAAGACCAAAGACTGTGAAGCCATTGAAGTAAGTGTCATTGTTATGTAACACATGTTATTAAGTGTTGTCAGGAAACATTATTAATCTTGTGATCAATGTTTTCATTGCAGTTCCACACAATATTTTAGTTATTTTCTGTATTTTATGTATTTTAAATGCATTATTGCATAGTCAAGGAACTTATCGATTGTGATATTACTTAAGATACAATTCTTCTAATTAGGATAATGGTTTGTTTTGATAGATTATGTGGAATCCGTATTTTGAGCGATATATTTCCGTGATAGATAAAGTTTACATGTATTGATTATTAATACCTTCTTATGAAACAGGCTATGATAACTTATTTGTGTTATGTGGGAAATGTTTTCTGCATAACCTGTATAATGTTTTTGTGATTTGTATCGTCAAATTCCTCCACTTGCTTCACGTTCAGTTCCTTCAGTTCGGTATGTTTATTTTTGCCTGATGTTAAATTCCATATTATGTATATAGAAAGATTTCCATTATATTCCATTTATCTTTATTGAACTCTTACAGGTCGAAATCTTCAATAAAGGAATGTTACGGTTGATAGGTTTGTGATCCTTAACTCCTAGTACAATAATAAAATAATGATGATAATAATAACATTGATAATATTGATGATATTAATATCAAAACCAATTATAATCAATAACAATAAAAATAATAAAATAATGATGATGGTAATAATAGTAATATTGATAATAATAATAACGATATCACTGATAATGATAGTAGCAACAATAATGATAATGCTGATTATAATTGTATTTTATAAGGATAAAAATTATGACTATTATGATAATAATGATACTAGTAACAATATGAAATAATAGCATTGATAATGATGATAAAAGTAATAATGATAACGATTATGATGATAATAATAATTATGAAAAGGATAATAATGGCTATGATAATAGTAACAATAAGAATAAGAATAGCAATGACAATAATAATAATGATAACAGTGATAATAATAACACTAAGAAGAATAACAGCAATAACAATAATAATAATAATAGTAATAATAATAATAACAATAATAATAGTGATAAAATTATAAGAATAATGGTATACCTACAACTAGTATGATTATCATCGCAATAAAATACATGTCAAGTCACTAATCAAATGTATAAGTAACAAAGCATTCTCGTCATCAAGAAATACTTCAACAAGGCTAGAAAAAGCAATATGGCGAAAAGGTCTTCCATATATTCGCGTCTTTTTTTTTTATATCTTTTCCTGTTTTATCTACTACACGACCTCCGTGCCACAACCAGCAATAGGCAAACATTTACACGGGTTTCTGGAGGCTGAGTCGAAGCAGTGAGGACACAGACAAGTTAGTGGGACTGAGGTAATCGGTATAAACGTGACCTGTGGTAAATTGCCAAAGCCGTAGTAATCAGAACGTTTGACAATGTTACCCTCCATTCCTGGCATTGATACATTGGCGACACCCAGTGCTGGATCCAAGAAATGACCTTCGGTTTCCGCCTGAACTTTGGAGTGTGATGTCAGTGCCTCTGTAAAGACAGTTGTGGCACTGTTGACGCCATTGATTGCGGCGCCAGTTGCCACCCACACCAGAGCCACTAACAGGTAGCGCGATATCATTTTCAGCAAGATAGTCAACTTGAATGAAACCTGAAACATGTGATAGATCATACATTACAAATCTGCATATATGTATATATATGCAGATGTAAATAAATATATAGATAGATATACGTATACCACAGTCGGCATAAAAAGCATAATTGTGTGCAAGCCAATAGCTCCCAAATTGGCGGCCCTCTCCCCCAAGATAAGCGGTGGCCCATGTGACTTGAGCTGGTCAGAACGCCTTCCGTCGCCATACCTTGAACACAACTAGCGAGTCCTTGGCCTCCTGGACTGTGCTCGGCCTCGCTACCACTCAAATACCGTCTACATAACCTTCTGAATATATAACAGGGTGTTATACTCTTTTGCCGATAAAAAGAGGAGCTATACAACTCTACCATGGAGTCCATAAAATAAATAGAACTCTTACATATATATATATATATACATACTTATATATGTATATATATATATATATATATATATATAAATACTTATATATGTATATATATGTATATATATATATATATATATATATATATATATATATATATATTTATAGATATGTTTATATATATGCTTAATTATATATATATATATATATATATACATATATATATATATATATATATATATATATATATATATATATATAAATATATATATATATATATATATATATGCATATATATGTTTATACATATATTCATATCTATATATCTGTATATACATATATCTATATATCTATATATATCTATCTATATATGTGTGTGTGTGTGAACAGAAAATCCGCCACAATAAAAAAACGTTTTAAACCCGTCAAGAGTTCCTCGTCAGGCGGATAAATAACTGAAATGGATCCATCCACTTCGGTCATTTATCCGTCTCATGAGGAACTCTTGGCGATTTCCATTCGTTACGATTTAATTCCATTCCATTTAATTCCATATATATATATACATATATATATATATATATATATATATATATATATATATATATATATATATATACATATATATGCGTGTGTAATATATATATATATATATATATATATATATATATATATATATATATATATATATAAAATATATATATATATATATATATATATATATATACATACATATATAAATACATATATATATCTATATATATGTGTGTGTGTGAATGTATGTAATATATATGTACATACATACATATATATGCATACATATATAAGTATATATATAAGTATATATATATATATATATATATATATATATATATATATATATACATATATATATATATATATATATATATATATATATATATATATATATACATATATATATATATATATATATATATATATATATATATATTGTGGCCCCTATTCAACATTTTATTAAATGTTCTTCAGTATGAAGACTTATTATGTTAGATTAATAAGTGTTTAAATGTTATCATTAATTATAATGTAACTATAAACACTTAATGACTTCAGAGTGAGAATAATAATACTATTAATTGTTGCAACTGAAGGTTCGAGATCAGTCTTTGTAAAAATTCAATATATCTATCAACAGAATATTATAAATATTATATATTAAAGTTACAATACCAAAATTTATGTGAAAAAGAAACAGAGAAGACATTATTTGAGTTCTTGACTCTTTACATATAACTAGACAGTTATGACTCACTATTATACAATTATCAATCATGAAACTTGATGAAAAACAAATCAACAATATTCAAAACTCGTCATATCTTAATGGATCAAATATTATAAAACAAAATAGCGATCATTATAAAAGCAATTAATAATTCGATATCTCAAAGTTAATAAATGAATTAGATATTACACAAAATAATCATGATCACCAGAAAAGAAAATATTTAAATCAAAATAAACATGCTCACTTTATTGAATATTAAAGAGTAACCACTATGTAAATTAAGTGTATGCTATTCATCTTAGAATTGGTTCAAGTACCTCCAAATATGCATGATTTTTTTTTAATGAATTAAAAAAACGCGTTTTATATTCATAGCCTTTTGAATGAACAAATTCTGGGCCTAAAACGTCGTCTGCTACAGCTTTAACTCAAACATTACCAAATCTGGATATATATACATATATACATATATTCATATATATGTATGTGTGTTATATATACATATATATATATATATATATATATATATATATATATATATATATATATATATATATATGTATATATATCCATATTTGGTGGACAATAGGACATTTGCATACAAAATATCACACGAAAATATCACACAAAAGGTTCTCATCCATGCATTCACGGCGATGATAAAGAAAATGAACACCTCATGACGTCATTCCCGGGTTGGTGGCGCTACTGGTAATATTTGAGTTAAAGCTGTAGCAGACGACGCATATTTCGGTAAAAAAAAAAAAAATGCTTCAAAACTATATTATTAGACAGATTTTTTTTTTTTTTTTTTGCAACAAGTTGCTTTTGAAAAAGTAGTATCTCAGCAATGAAAAAATACAAAGTTGTGCACAAGCTTGGTGGTTACCCTTTAAAAGAATCCTGATCACAAGAGAAACTAATTGAATTTTATTCCTATGTGAATAAATGAATCGGACACGAAGCAAGTGAAAGCAAGAATCTTGACAAAAACAAAGACACAAAATCTAAAAACAGAATCTAATGACCACATTACACCACATAGAAACAAGCTATAATGGCTAAGAGTACAACAGAAATACAACTATAACACGTGTATTCTAATCCAGAAAATAATATAAGGAAATTACCCAACTTGGCTATTATCTATACAAACAACAGGTAACATAACAGATGTCCATACAAGGCAAAATAACTAAATATTAGAAATATCTCCTACCAAAAGACATTTAAAACAAAAGTGAAAGAACTATACATATATACATGTATAGATGTAGACACTCAAAGGCCTAGTCATCTATACATACACACATATATGTGTGTATGTATACGTATATACACATATAAATATTAATGCATGCACACACATATATATGTATATGTACATACATGTATATATGTATGTATATATGTATGAAAATGTATATATATGTATATATATATGAATATGTATATATATATATATATATATATATATATATATATATATGCGTATGTATGAATGTATGTATGTAATATGTATGTATGTAGAAGCACTCACGAAAATGAATGTGTGTGCATGTGTGTACACGCTATGAAATAACAGATATTTGACAACTGCAGCATGGGAATACTTCTATTGAATAGAGACATAACATTTTCCCTAAAGGAAAACATGAACAGACAAACGGAAAATGAAATAACCGATCTACAATTGATGAGGAAGGGAGAGAGAGCGACTGACAGCGCGCGCGCGCGCGTGTGTCTGTGTGAGAGAGAGAGAGGGGCGAGAGAAAAGGTGTGGGGGAGTGAATAATAGGGACAGTGATAGTGAGAGTGAGAATATGAAAAAAAGGAAGAGAGAGAGCAAGACAAAGATTTACGACCTTAACATATACACAGAAAAAAAACTATTGACATGTATACTCTATGGTTAAATTGCTAGTGGTAAAAAACATGTACACAGAATAGTATGCGTATGTGTGTGTGTATGTGTGTCTGTGTTTGTGTGTAAGTGTAAGTGTGTGTGCGTATAAAATGGAAACATAATAAATAACAGAAATAAAAGGCATAATATATTCTGTACTGACGTCATTTAGAAAAAAGAAAAAAAAATCACATTTATTCATTACAAAAAGAAAGAAACAAACAAAAAACAACAACAATACTTCGACATATAAAAGGATTATATCAGTATATATATTAGAAGTGTACTTTTAAGCGTGACCTTATAAAAATTATGAACACAATGTCATTTAAACAATCAAATAACAGATCGTCACATACCTTTGCCTCAAACAACCCACAATATACTCAACGATTCCAAGAGATGATGCAGAATGCACGGCAAGAGCGCTGCTTGTCAGACGACTAGCCTTTTTCAAGCTCCACCCATGCAAATTCTCGTTGCCAGTTAGCTTTTCGCATGCTAGCAAAAAACAGTACCTATTAACTAATTACTTTTATGGAATCCTATTGTATATTCATTTCTACGTTATGTGGGAGGTGAAGGGAAAATATGAAATGGTGAAAACAGTTATTCTAATCAGAAATATTATGATCCAAGCTGAAACTCTGCTTCTTGAGACCGTGGAAGTGTCCTTCCTCGTCCAGAATTACTGATGTGACGCCGTTGCTAACATAAACCAACAAATATACACTTTAAGTATACACTTTAAGATTTGCCTCGTAAATCTATGTATTTTTTTAGGGAAATATCACATATACATTTGTTAGTATTTGGAATGTATGAGGAAGTATATTATGTTACATAAGCATTGGGAATCCTCAAGGTTACCGTGTCTTCCACACGCACATTCAAACAGTTCTTACGGGTAAAGTATTTATTTTTTTTTTTATGTGGCACAATTGTGTTTGGTAATACTAACCAAGATATTAGTAATAATGATACTAATAACAACGATCATTATATTAAAGATGATATTTATGATGATAATGACACTAATCATTATAATATAGGCGATATTAACTATGATAATGCCATAAATAATAATAATGATTATAATGACAATGAAAATAACGATGATGGAAAGATATTCATGATATAATATTAATACTATCATATTTTTATTATCATTATTTTTATTATTACTACTACGACTACTACCACCATTATTACATTATTATCATTATCATAACTATCATTATTATCATTATCATTACTATTATTATTATCATTATCATTATTAGCATTATCATTACTATCATTATTATCATTATCATTACTATCATTATAATCATTATCATTATTATCATTATCATTACTATCATTATTATCATTATCATTACTATCATTATAATCATTATCATTATTATCATTATCATAACTATCATTATTATCATTATCATTACTATTATTATTATCATTATCATTATTATCATTATCATTACTATCATTATTATCATTATCATTACTATTATTATTATCATTATCATTATTATCATTATCATTACTATCATTATTATCATTATCATTACTATCATTATAATCATTATCATTATTATTATTATCATTACTATCATTATTATCATTATCATTACTATCATTATAATCATTATCATTATCATCATTATCATAACTATCATTATTATCATTATCATTACTATTATTATTATCATTATCATTATTATCATTATCATTACTATCATTATTATCATTATCATTACTATTATTATTATCATTATCATTATTATCATTATCATTACTATCATTATTATCATTATCATTACTATCAGGAGGAAAGTGAGAGAAGGACCCAGGCGTATATTTCCTCTTGCTTCTTCACATCCGTTATCGCCCGGGAGTGTGGGTACCGCTGAGGGAAGAGGGAGGGAGCAGGGAAAGGGCAACGGGAACGCGCGCACACACACGCACACTCACACATACACACATACACACATACACACATACACACACTCATTACACATGATCCTAACAAAGATTCGCACACATACACACACACGAACACGCGCACACATACACACACACATACATGCACGCACGCACACGCACGCGCACACACACACACAAACACACATACACACACGCACACACACACACAGACTACATTAAAACCATAAATGTATACACCACAAATATACTACTGCATAATCTATTTCCAGATGAAAATAATAGAAAAGTAATCAATAACTAATATAACTAATACATAAAAAATGAGTCCATCACTAATATATATATTCATATATGCATACATACATGTATATGAAAGGAAAACTGCCACAGTAAGAAAAGAAATTGAATTGTAACGTTTCGAACTCTTTACGAGTTCCTCTTCAGACGAATATGCCAATAATCGAAGTTCCATTTTTGGTATATCATTCGTCTGAAGAGGAAAATCGTGAAGAGTTCGAAACGTTACAATTCAGTTTCATTCCTTACTGTTAGTTTTTCTTTCATCTTTATGTACACGTTACTGTGTTTGGGTTTGTGTCATACATATATAAGTATAAACACACACATATATATGTATGTATACATATACATAAATAAATATGTATATATACATATATATGTATACATATGTGTATATTCATGTGTGTACATATATATGTATGTATGTATATACATGTATGTCTGGATGTATACATATATATGTCTGTATATATGTATATGTATATAAGTGTATGTATACATATGTATGTGTATATATACATATATATACACACACAAAACATGCACACATGTATGTGTATATATATGTATATATATGGTATATGCATATAAACATATACATATATATATGATGACTGCCGCGATAGTACAGTTAGAGCAATGGACTCCGGCCCTCGTGCTTCAATTCCACGCCGCGGAAGTCGTAAAAATGGCTGCACACTACTTGCTGGCTCGAGCCCGAGAAAACGACATATCGCTTTAAGAAGTCAAACGCAGGTGTCGTAGGGGAAGTATATATATATATAATATATAAATTATATATGAATAATATAATATTTATACATATATATGTATGTATATATCTATCTATCTCTATATATATATATATGTGTGTGTGTGTATGTGTATGATATATATATATGTATAACATAAGATATATATATGATATGTATAACATAATATCAGTCCTGGGTAAGACGTTAAACTGCACCCTGGGTTGCCCTTTGGAAAGGCATAGTGCCCATTGTACATCATTATACATATATACTGTATCATATATATTATATATTATATATATTATATGCATATCATTTATACATATATATATATATATATATATATATATATATATATATATTATATCATATTATATATATCTTACTATAAATATACAATACATATATAATATATATACATATATTTATTACGCTCGCGCGCGCGCGTGTGTGTGTATGTGTATATGGCGTATATATATATATATATGTGCGTGTGGTGTACATATATGTGTGTGTATGTATGTATATATACATACACACGCACACGCATATATGTATGTATATATACATATATATATTCATACATATATACATATATATTATATTCATACATATATACATATATATTATATTCATACATATATACATATATATTATATTCATACATATATACATATATATTTATAAATATATACATATATATTTATACATATATACATATATATATATTTATACATATATATATATATATATATATGTATATATATATTCATATATATTCATATATATATATATATATATTCATATATATTCATGTATATATATATATATATATATATATATATATATATTCATATATATTCATGTATATATATATATATATATATATATATATATATATATTCATATATATCCATGTATATATATAAATATATGTTCACCATATATGTGTGTGTATGTGAGCGCACGCGTGTGCGTGACTGTGTGTGTGTGTGGTGTACGTATATGTATGCATATATACTTATGTGTGCCTACATGTATATATATATATATATGTATATACAAATATACATTTATATATATATATATATATATATATATATATATATATATATATATATATATATATAGGCGTTCCAAGAATTCTGTATGTATGCCATTACCTCCAGTTGCTCTGATTTTTAGTAAAGTAAATTTCCCTTTTCTCAGTCTTTACCAAGTTATCTCCATTATTTTATATAACTGGTTTTACATTGATAGTGATAATGATAATAATAATGATAATAAAGTTAGTAATAACGATAATGATAATAATAACAAGAATGACAGTGAAGATCATACTGATAATGATAATCATGATAATAATAACAATAATAACAATTATAATAATAATGGTATAACTACAACTAATATGGTAATCCCAATGAATTACACGTCAGGTCAGCACCATTTCACAAAAATCAAATGAATATAGAGTAAATAGCAAATGTTCATCTAAAATTTATTGGTTACATAAAATATTCTTAATGATAACATCAAAACAGTAGCTTCACAGAATCCTATAGATTAATTATCTATCTAAAAATCCTATTCTGAAAACCAACACCATGAAATCAAAGGATATAAATTCCGTCTGTATAAAATAACATAAAATACAAGCACGTGTATGGTAAGGATATTATAAAATTCATACAAGAATAACATACAGCGATTAACCCAATGCCGCCGGGGAAAATGAAAAAAAAATGGGGAAAATGCTGTGCCCACTTTCAATGTTTTTCGTAAAATGTCTGCCGATAGATGGCTCTGCTAGCGCCTGATTTGAAATGGCGGGAAAAACGTATTTTTCACTAGTGCTATGAAAATCGATGGTGTTATTTTTATCATAAACATTAAAATTTTTATAATGTTTTTTAACATTAGTAACGGAAAAATAAGATAACGTAAAATATTTTGTAAATCAAAGAAACGGGTAAACGGGCGAGACGGGCGGTACTCGCAGTTGGCTCATTGGGAGTTAATACAAGTGTTGCCATCTATGCGTAAAAACAATCAAACAAGTACTCACAGTGGGCTTAGCACGTACGTACACGTCATACCCGGCACCAATGGGTTAAGGGACCATCACATGAGGGAAAATTTTTGTGTACTTTCCACAATCTACAAACAGCAATTTCATTTAACAAATCTCCACTCTGGATCTTCATTGTCCACCAAAACTGAGCAAGAATGGGGCTGGCCTCTTTCCCTTTGCTTACGCCAGGGCAGATGGGCGATAATCATTGACTTCCATGTTATTAGCCTTTATTATAATCTAGATATTTATTTGAGAACCTCCGTGTGCTTGGGCTTGTAATATTATGGTTAACTGTATTTTGATAATCTGTACGCAATAATCTGTACATATTTGTAGAAATTATATGACTAACCTGTAGAATGTTTTACAAGTACACGATAATTTGCTCTCGTGTCATATGGCCTTTACATGTGCTCTGAGAGAAGGATTCTTAATGAACAAGATGCAAATAAAACACGAGAAAAATACGAATATTCCAGTAGAAATCTTTGCTATATTGTTTCAACAAGGCTAGAAAAAGCAATATAGCGAAATGGTCTTCCGTATATTCGCGTGTTTTCATTTTCCTACGTTGTTTTATGTACTACAGAGGATCCCAGCCACAGCCAGCAACAGGCAAACAAGTACAAAAGTTCCTAGAGGGTGAGTAGGAGCAGGTATCACACCTACAAGGTGGTGAGACAATGGTCTGGTACGCTGTCACTGTCACAGTGTTATCTCTACAGACTTCTCTCGTCGGAATGTACACCGGGAGTGTGACAGTTTCCCGTGGTGGGCAGCCATAGCCGGAGTAAGCAGACCGTTTGACAACGTTGCCCTCCATCCCTGGCCACAAAGATACATCGGTGACACCCAGCACTGGTTCTAAGGAATGCTCTTCTCTCTTAGCCTGAACTTTGGAACGTGATGCCAGTGCCTCTTTAAAGGCAGTTGTGGCACTGTTGACGTGGCCGACGAGGGAAGGTTCCAAGAAATGCGGACTGTCATTGGTCACGGCGCCAGTTACCACCCACACCACAGCCACTAGCAGGTAGTGTGATGTCATTTTCAGTTCGAATGAAACCTGAAACATGTGATAAATTATGAATTACAAATCTTCACATAGGTGTATATATGCAGATGTAAATAAATATATAGATAGGTAGACGTATACCACAGTCGGCATAAAAGCATAAGTGTGTGCAAGCCAGTAGCTTGCAAAATGCCGGCCCTCTCCCCCAAGCTAAGCGGTGGCCCAAGTGACGAGCTAGGACGTATACCACAGTCGGCATAAAAGCATAAGTGTGTGCAAGCCAGTAGCTTGCAAAATGGCGGCCCTCTCCCCCAAGCTAAGCGGTGGCCCAAGTGACGAGCTGGTCAGAACGCCTTCCGTCGCCATACCTTGAACACAACTAGCGAGTCTTTGCCCTCCAGGACTGTGCTCGGCCTCGCTACCACTCAAATACCGTCTACATAACCATCTGAATATATCACAGGGTGTTATAATCTGTTGCCGATAAAAAAGATAAGCTACACAACATGAAGTCCATAAAACAAATAGAGTTCTTACATATATATAAACATATATATCTATATACATATTTATATATATTTATATATATGCTTAATTATATATATATTTATATATATACATATATATGTTTATATATGTATTCACATATATATATATATATATATATGTGTGTGTGTGTGTGTGTGTGTATACATATATCTGTATATCTATACATCTATATACATCTAGGAAAACCGCTACAATAAAAAACGTTTTAAACCCGTCAAGAGTTCTTTGTCAGACGGATAAATAACCGAAATGGATCCATCCATTTCGGTCACTTATCCGTCTCATGAGGAACTCTTGGCGATTTCCATTCATTACGATTTAATTCCATTCCATTTAATTCCATATATGTGTACATATAAATGCGTGTGTGTGCTATATATATATATATATATATATATATATATATATATATATATATATATATATATATATATATATAACATACATATATAAATACATATATATATATATTATATATATGTGTGTGTACGTTTGTAATATATATGTACATAAATACATACATATATATACACATATATATATATATATATATATATATATATATATATATATATATACATATACATATATGTATATATGTATGTATATGTTGTGGCCCCTATTCAACATCTTAATAAATGTTCTTCACTTATTATGTTAGATTAATAACTGTTTAAATGTTCTTCACTTATTATGTTAGATTAATAACTGTTTAAATGTTCTTCACTTATTATGTTAGATTAATAACTGTTTAAATGTTCTCACTAATTATAAAGTAACTTTAAACAATCAATGACTTCAAAGTGATAATAATAATACTATTAATTGTTGCAGCTGAAGCTTCGAGATAAATCTTTGTAAAATGTCAATATATCTATTAACTGAATAATATAAACATAATATAATAAAATTACAATACCAAAGTTTATGTGAAAAAGAAACAGCAGACATTATTTGGGTTCTTGTCTCTTTACATGTAACTAGACAGTTATAACTCACTTTTATATAATTATCAGAAATGAATACCAAATCAACAATATTCAAAACTACGTCATACCTTAATGAATCAAATATTATAAAAAAAAAATAATAATAATAATAGCTATCATTATAAAAGCAATTGATTACTCGATATCTCAAAGTTATTAAATTATATGGATATTACAAAAATAATCATGATCACCAGAAATGAAACTATTTAAATCAAAATAAACATGATCACTTTATTGATTATTAAAAGAATCCTGATCTCAAGAAAAACAAGAATCAGACAGGAAGCAAGTGAAAGCAAGAATCTTGACAAAAACAAGGACACAGAAACCATAAACGCGGCGAGAGTAGCACTGGGAAATGTAAATAAATATAACCACATCACACCACATAGAAACAAACTAAAGTGGCTAAAAGTACAACAGAAATATAACAATGACACGTGTATTCTAATCCATAAAATAATACAAGGAAACTACCCAAATTGCCTATTACCTATATAAACATCATGTAACATAACAGGTAACATTAATTGCAAAATAACTCCTTATATATCAAAAGATCTAATACAGAAACTGGGGCAAGAAATATGCAAATGCGAGGACTAGTGATCTGGAACTACCAGAAAATATTACAAATATCTCCTACTAAAAACATTTAAAACAAAAGGGAAAGAACATCTACTGAAATATCAATGACATCAGGCGTTTGAACATCATGAAAAGCACGGAATTTCAGTCATCCGTGATATTAATGTTCCCTCTAATCTTGTTAAACAAGCATTGTATAATATCTGTGTATATAAAATCCTATTACATAATGTAAACATCATATATATTAATGGAATAAAGTGTTTTAGATTTGAATTTGAATTGATAGACAAAAAAAAAATCAATATTGATATATGACCTTGACGTCTAGTACATTTATTTATTTTGTTTCATTACATGTTCATAAAAAATCCTCATTTTCTTCCTAATCCTATGTTCCAAAATAGCACTTTCATGTTACTGTCTTCCATTTCTAATTCCTGCCACCATGTTCCATCACAATGCAACACCAAAACACTTCAAACGGACTTACTGAGTTGAACATGGATGCTGGACGCTACTCCGTGACCTAATCCATATTCTCCTTTTATTTTCGACATGGAACTCATCCACTCACGCCCTTGCTGGTTATCACTAAATCATTCCTTATAGTTGGAAAGACACCCGCATCAGGATTTTTCTATGGCCCAGCACATTTCTAACACTGAAACATATCACTTCTAAATTGTTCTAAGTGCCACCCGAGTTCATTTCTTGTTCCCAGATTGATACACTATGATCCATATTAGAATTGCTTGTTTTTTCGCACTCGTGATTTCATTTTTGCTTCTGCGGGTCCATCACTAGCTGTTACCCTCTGTCACATGATGATTTCGCTACTTTGGGCCATAGGGCGCTACTTTTTTTCTTTCTTTTTCATTCGTGTCTTGTCCTGGTGACCATATTTTTATGTAAGGAATCCTGGAATCCTTGCGATGTTGATCTATTTTGTGTGTCTCGTCTCAGCTTGTGTTTCGCCTGGTCATATGGTATCTGCTTCGCTATATATGTGCATGTAGACACTCAAAGGCTTAATCATATATATATAACATATGTATATGTATATATATATTGTATGTAGATATATATAAATATGTATATATATGCGTATGTATGAATGTATGTATGCAATATGTATGTATGTATGTATATATATACACAGACACATATGTATGTGTGTGTGTGTACATATATGTGTGTATGTATGTATATATATACATATATATATATATACATATGCATACATACATATACATGTATACACACACATTATATATATATATATGTATGTATATATACATACACACACACACACACACATATATATATATATAATATATATATATATGTATGTATGTATGTATATATATACACAGACACATATGTATGTGTGTGTGCGCGTGTGTGTATGTGTGTGCGTGTGTGTGTATGTGTGTGCGTGTGTGTGTATGTGTGTGTGTGTACATATATGTGTGTATGTATGTATATATATGTATAATATATATATATATATGTAAGATATATATATATGAATATGTATGTATGTATATATATGTATGTATACATAAATATGTAAATATACATACATGTATACATATGTGTATATGTGTGTGTGTGTACATATATGTGTGTATATATGTACATATATACATTATATATATATATTATATATATGCTTAATGTATATATATAAATATATGAATATGCATATCATAATATATATAATATACATATATATGTGTGTGTACATATATGTGTGTATGTGTGTGTGTGCATATATATATATATTTTCGGTTTAACGTCACGGAACTCCCTTTTTGATCAAGGGCTACGACGGGCCTCCCCCGTGAAGGGCAGGCAGGATTTGGCAGGTGGAGACCGTTACCCCTTCCTAACCTCGGTCCGTGGCCGGGATTCGAACTCGTGCGCTTGCAGACCCTCTGTATATATATGTATGTATATATATACATATATGTATATATTTGATGACTGCCGAGATGGTCTAGTGGTTAGAGCACTGAACTCCGGCCCTTGTGGTCCCGTGTTCAATTCCCCGTCGCGGCAGTCGTAAAAATGGCTGCACTCTGAATGCTGGCTCGAGCCCGAGAAAACGACATATCGCCTTAAAAAGTCAAACGCAGGTGTCATAGGGTAAGTATATATATATATATGTATGTATATGTTGTGGCCCCTATTCAACATCTTAATAAATGTTCTTCACTTATTATGTTAGATTAATAACTGTTTAAATGTTCTCACTAATTATAAAGTAACTTTAAACAATCAATGACTTCAAAGTGATAATAATAATAATGATCATAATATCGATAATAACGATAATAATCATAATGATAATGGTAACAACAGTAATAATAATAATGATAATAACGATAATAATGGCAATGCTAATAGTAATACCAATAATTATAGAAATAATAATAATGACAATGATAGTAGTAGTAATAATATTTACAGTGAATAACAATTATAACAAAATAGCCATTAACAAAAACATTAATTTTAGAAGTTTTTATGCAAACCAGATCAAAACATATTCGATCACTACAAAAATACAAATATCGATTGGTATATATAGGTAATTAAGGACAGACACAGAATAGGGTGTATATATGTGTGTATGTGTGTGTGCGCGTGTGTGTATGTGTGTGCGTGTGTGTGTATGTGTGTGTGTGCATATATATATATATATATATATATATATATATATATATATTAGAAATGTACTTTTAAGCGTGACCTTATAAAAAATATAAACACAATGTCATTTAAACAATCAAATAACGATCGTCACATACCTTTGCCTCAAACAACCCACAATATGCTCAACAATTCCAAGAGATGATGCAGAGTACACGGCAAGAGCGCTGCTTGTCAAATGACTAGTCTTTTTACAAGGTCCAC